GGTGTGCGGCGCGACCCGAGACAAAAACACTCGTGCATTTTTAACCAGCGCATTAAATATTAAACACGGCACACTGAGCTACGGCTAACGCACACACACACACACACACACACACACACACATATACACACGAGCGCTGAGCAGACAACTTGTCCAGGTCGATGGGCTAACGCGGCTCTCAGCGTCATTACCTTGCTCTCCAGGCATGCCCCGCACACGGGCCCCTCGCATGTGAGCGTTTAAGAGCCACAAGTAAAACAAGCGGTCCCCGTCGCACTCTGTCTGCACCTTTTCTTCTGTTTTCTCTCTCACCTTTCTCTATGATGTGGTCGCGATACACAAAAGAGCAAACTCTATTTTGATACTAAACATGACATATTGTGGCCTGTTTCAGGGCTGTAATTAACACTAGAAGTCCCAGAGCAGTCTATTTGACGGCTTTTAGTTTTTAAAGTGTAATTATTCAGCGTTTGTAACTTTTTCTGTTTCTTTGTGTAGTTTCATTCTATAACATTATTTTCTTTTGAAATTATCTTTTGTTTTTTAAATGTGAGGAGTTCAGCCTTTTACTCTATTTGTTTGTCAAATTCAAATGTTGCCTTTCTTTCTTTCTTTCTTTTCATGACAGGCCTTTTTACAAGATTCTGGGTCCTGGACTGGTCTGGATTGGTTCTGGTTCAGCTTGGTTTCCACCAGAGAAGAGCAAGTGCTGGTTACCAAAGCAATGCACGGTTTACTTGCTAGCTGTTAGCCTTTGGTCTCAATCATTAGCCTCTTAACAAACGGTTTCATTCTCTAAAGTTATATTCTCCAGTTTTAGCACTTCGTTAAATTTAATTAATCTGGTGAAAACCATTTTTGGGGCAATTTCTCAGAATTCCATTGGTTTGAATGAGAGCAGTCAAAATGACAGCTCTGAGGGTTCTAGTGGTTTCATACTTGTGAGAGTCCTAGTGTCAAGGATTATTTTGATAATTGATTAGTTGGATGATGATCATTCTTTCAATTAATACATTGATTGATTAGAAAGTCTGTATAACTGTTTGCCCAAAATTGATGTAATTTCAATCTTAGTTTTTGCATTGATTCAACTTTGCATTTCCACTTTTTCTATTTCACAACATTCCGGCCTTCCCTCCTCTCACCTCTCGCTCTCCCCCCTCTCTAATATCAGACAGGGGCCAGGGTAACAGGGCCCGACTTTGATGTCCCCCAAAGCAAACCATAACAAGAGGAAGTTTTCAATGCAGTGCCGCAAGAAGGAATGTCACATGGGGGACACCGTAGGGAGCGAAGACAGAGCGGCCAGATCAAAGAAGGGGACCGTACATTACATCCGTTTAAATGAGAGGAGATTGTAGCATTTTAGGGATTTATCTTTTAATCCAATTTGTGGATTCAGAAGAGTAAAGACAATGCTTGTTTATAATAGTCTGTTTCTCTGTTTTTCCACACAGTTTTTGAGTTTTTCTTGCCGATGCAGGAATGATGGGGACCGGGTCAGATCCGGTACATGTATGGACAATTGGGATATCTATGGCTTAATTTAAAAAAAAAAAACATAGCATAAATATAGAGGTTTGACTTATTTTAAGCATATATAAGCTTTTTGTTTTGTTTCAGTTATAATTGCCTTACTTAGATTCAAGAATTTATTTGCCATTTGCAGTAAAACCACATTGGAAAAACTGTGCAAGACTACCCCCAGTGCGCACCAAATAAAAGTCACGCATCTTGTGTTGTGTGCTCCTCATTTTTACTGTTCTGGAACAACTAGAAAACATTGTTAACATTAACTTTTGCATTTAAGAAAGAGTTCTCGGTGAGTCACTATTTGACACTTTGGGCTGAAAGCTGATTGGCTGAGTGAGCGAGGACGCAAATACATGGAGCAAGGAACTAGTGACACTGATTTTATATAATCGTTGCCTATTTGCTATAGCTCAAATTAATTGTATTTGAGCTAATTAGCATCTAGATTCGCCACTAGTTTTGGTATTGTTTAACATCTTATTTTCAATACTCTCGACAACCCTAATTCATTATGTGATAATGCTGCTAATGTACAGATGCTAACATACTTCTGCTAATGTACAGATGCTAACATACTTCTGCTAATGTACAGATGCTAACATACTTCTGCTAATGTACAGATGCTAACATACTTCTGCTAATGTACAGATGCTAACATACTTCTGCTAATGTACAGATGCTAACATACTTCTGCTAATGTACAGATGCTAACATACTGCTGCTAATGTACAGATGCTAACATACTTCTGCTAATCTACAGATGCTAACATACTTCTGCTAATGTACAGATGCTAACATACTTCTGCTAATGTACAGATGCTAACATACTGCTGCTAATGTACAGATGCTAACATATAACATAACTACACATTGCTTGCACTAGAATACACAGTACTTTATACTTGCCTCTTCCTTTGCCAAATATTCTTTTTTAAATTAAAATAATTTTCAAGATAGAGATTTTTTACTTGTTATTGATGCTAGAGTTAGAGATTTGTTCTATTTTAATTAGCATACTGTTCACTTATCTTGTGCCGTGTGCTCCTCTTGCCGACTGTTCTATAACTTGTGATGCAACACTGAAATTTCCTCACTGTGGGACGAATAAAGGCTTTCTTAATCTTAATCTTAAATGTTGAATATCTAATGTGCTGTTGGCAAATCGTCAATTTGTGACGTCGTTCGAGGTGACTGCTGCTTGGATTCAATTCAATGTATTATTGCATAGCCCCGGACCACAACAGCAGTCGTCTCGGTGGACTTCACAAAATTGTCACACAACACAGGAAATGCAATAATAAAAACAAAAAAACACACAGGAGCCATTGGTCCACAGGGTTCTGGGTAATAAAATAGTAACCGAGCCTGCATTTGAAAGGACAAGCAGCATTTTGAAGTGTTTTAAAGTCCATGCGATAGCTATACACTGCAGAAAATAATAAAATACAGTACATTCTGACTGTATTAAAACAATATTTGCCAATGGAACAAAGCCATTTAGTCCCGTTTCAAGAATTGTTGCTTTATTTTCTCATTACTCACAACTATTATTATCATTTTGCTTGTGAAAATAGGCTCAAATTAAGATGTTTTACTTATTTCTGCAGCGTATATTTTTTCAGCGTATTTTTTGGTAGCCTTTTGACATGCCTGACCCCCAAACCCTGCTCCTGGTCCCACAATATGAGCAAAACAAAATAAGTAAAACCAAACTAGTGACACACACACACAATATTTACCATCTATCCCCCTTCGAGAAACGACACAGGCAGAACGTGCAAACCCCACACAAAATGACGTGCATCTCCCTGGCACTTTAGCGCGTGTGTACAGTTTTATTGGCCCTCTCCTGCTCCCCATAAACATGAATGGGAATAATGGTACTCCCGTCAATGTATGGAGCTACAAATTGCGCGGCGAAGGTTAGGCGCGATTTTCTCGTCGTGCGGATCGATGTCTCGCCGCTGCTCGATGGAGTTAATTCTGCACCTCTCTGGGCCTTCCTCCTCCTCCTCCTCTTCCTCCTCCTCCTCTTCCTCCTCCGCTGGTGCAGTTAAGTCAGTGTAATGTAAATGATGTGCCATCGATTGCCACTGACAGTGCAAGGACGCTCACCTTTCTGCTCCACTCCCTCCTAGCCCCTCGTGTCCTAGCTCCTCGTTTGTCTCCTAGGTCCTCCTCTCCTTCTGCTGATGGCGGACGAGCTGGGTTTTAATGTTTAAAGACATTTTGTGAGTATGACTTTTAAATGGTATTAAAGATGTTTTGTATTTTAAAGCACATTCCACACCTGTGTTCACTGCAAAAAGTGATGAAAAATATGCTCAAAACTGGCAACATGTATCTTAATTTTTAGTTAAAACCACGGAAAAGATATATATATTTGATTCCATATTATAGAACAGTGTTTCCGAAAGTGAGTTCTGGAGCCCCCGGTAAGGATTTTAAGCATATCTACAAATAATTACAGATTATTTGCAAAAACAAATATTTGAAAAGTTGTTCTTTACAAAGTCGTTTTTTTGAAAATCCAACTGTAATTTAGTGCCATACAAATACATTTTCACCCTTCTTGAGTATTTTTTGTTTCCAAATGTACGACCAAAATTAAATATTTTTTAAGAATGTAGCTAGAGGAATACAACTGGACACAATTTCAAAACAACTTCTCTGTTAATGCACTCCTCAAACATTCTGTATCTCTGAACAACATAGACATTTCAACGTTTAATTGTGTCTTTTCATGTATTTTGGTGTAAATTGAAAAAGGGAAAACATATTATTCATGCATTTTAATGTTTGGGGGACACATAGACAGCGTTCGGTTAGTATGAGAGGCCTAGACTTTGGGAACTGATTACAATTTTGCGATGAGTTTGTTGATATTCTGTTCATTTAAATAGTCCACTCCAAATATGTTTCGAGTCAAATTTAAAATGTCATGAAAGTTCCATTTGAAACAGCGACATATGAAGCGAATACCTCATACAACACCAAAAATGCAAGACGGTCAAATGTGTGGAATAAGCCAATAAATGCTAGAATGCAGTAGTTCGTATGTTTTCTCACTTTCTTCCAGTGAGACCTTGAGCGTTGATTTGACAGTTCATAAAAGCCAATGATGAAAAAGCCATGTCTCATTTGGAATAAAACCTGAAAACAAGACAAAGATTCTCAACAATTCAAGATAAACTCAAATTAAGACATTTTACTGGATTCAAGTGATGTTTTACCGATCAAGGACTTTTACTCGCAAACTTTCTGCTTTGCTCGCCCCAAAATATTCGATTTAGATTGCGATTAATCGTGAAGCCCAAGTCAGATTTACTAAAAAGAGTCTGAGTTTAATCTGAGCTTAATGTATCGTTCAGAAGGTTTTCAGTTCTAAACGGTGAAGGACGAGGTCTTCAGTCTCCCAATCTCAGATATTTTGGTATTGATCTGACCATGAATGGCTTTTAGTCCATATGGCTTTCTCCTCTTCGCTCCTGGGCCTTCTTTTCCCACCTCTCTCCTCCTCTTTCCTCCTCCCCTCTCTCCTCATCCCCTTTCCTTCCTGCTCCTCTCTTCACTCACCTCCTCCTCCTCTCTCCCCTTCCCCTCCCCTCTCCACTCCTCTCCTCTCATCCCCTCTCCTTCCTCCTCCTCCTCTCTTCACTCATCTCCTCTCTCCTCTCCCCTCCTCTTTCCTCCTCCCCTCTCCAATCCTCTCCTTCTCTTTCCTCCTCCCATCTCTTTCTTTTTCCCCTCGCCTCCTCTCCTCTCCTCTTCTTTCCTCCTCCCCTCTCCTTCTCTCTCCTCCTTCCACCTCCCCTCTCCTTCTCTCTCCTCCTTCCACCTCCCCTCTCCTTCTCTCTCCTCCTTCCACCTCCCCTCTCCTTCTCTCTCCTCCTTCCACCTCCCCTCTCCTTCTCTCTCCTCTTTCCACCTCCCCTCTCCTCTCTCTCTCCTCCTCCTCCTCCTCCCTCTCCTTCTCTCTCCTCCTTCCACCTCCTCTCCTTCTCTCCTCCTCCTTCCTCCTCCCCTCTCCTTCTCTCTCCTCCTTCCACCTCCTCTCCTTCTCTCTCCTCCTTCCACCTCCCCTCTCCTTCTCTCTCCTCCTTCCACCTCCCCTCTCCTTCTCTCTCCTCCTTCCACCTCCCCTCTCCTTCTCTCTCCTCCTTCCACCTCCCCTCTCCTCCCTCTCATCTCTCAGCACAGCCTCCCTCTCCCTCGCTCCTGTCCCTCTGCACTCATCACTTATGTCTCTCTTTGCTGGTGCGGCCATTGTTCTTCTGAAGCATCTGTTCTGTCGCTCCCCCTCTCCTCTCTCCTCTTTCCCTCTCTCCTCCCCCTCTCCTCCTCCTCTCCTCCTCCTCTGAGTTTGTCCATCATTTATCCAGCACACACTTGATTTTCAGCCCATCATACTCTCCAGGCCGCTGTGCATTCCCCCGCTGCTGTCCATCTTAAAACTCTCGCTGTAGACCATCCCAACTTTCTCAAGTAAAGCTGCGCGGCTTTGATAGTTCTAGATGGTGTAGTCATTCTTAAAGCTGGGGTACCTAACTTTTTTTTTCCTTCACTCATTTGGTTTGTTCCATGAGAGAGTGTTGTGAAAAGGGATAATTTGTGAACATTTAAGACCTCAACATGCTTTCTTCATCTAATCAGAAAAGGTCCTGGGTTCCCCGGGCGGAACAGGGGCCTTTCTGAGTGGAGTTAGCATGTTCTTCCTGTGTCTGCGTAGGTTTCCTCCGGGTGCTCCGGTTTCCCCTACCACTAAAAACATGCACAATAGGTGTGAATGGATGGTGTTGATTGGGAGCTTGAATGCGCCAGTGTGTTCGACAACTCGCTTCTGTCATCACCGTGTGTGGAATGATTGAAACAATATCTGAACTCTGAACATTGTAAAGCGCTTTGGATGACCTTGGTCGGTAAAATGCGCTATATAACAAAAAATTACGTACTATTTTATTCTTTGGGCTGAAAGCTGATTGGCTGTCTGAACAAGCGGATCTCAAGATGTGACAGAAGGCAAAGAGACAAGATAGTGCCGCAGACGATTGCTGTGGTTCTATGGTACGCAAAGATTAAACATTTTAAAATAAATAATGTATGCATGCTTTTTATCTTTTTGTTGTTGTTTGTATGATATACCAGAGCAAATCCTAGTTTGAGACTTCCTGTGACTGCAAAGGCTATTTAAAGATTTCTGTTTCTGAGATACACATAGTGTTTTAAAAGCGATGAACTAGTAATGCAAGACTAGACAGAAAATAGAGAAACATTACCGTATGTTCTCTTACTACCCTATTTTTTCCAGTGATCCTTGTATTTCTACGTCTCTCTAAACCCAGTGCTAGCCAGATTTATATCATATGCAAAAATATCACTTGCTGTTTGCAGGGGAAATATATGGCGACAGATCATAGATAATAACCGCCAACTGCGTGTAACTCCCTAATTTACCACCAGAGGGAGGAGCTTGTCTTTTTTGAACGGAAAATTACCGGCAGAGCGTAAAGCCATGCGACGGTAAAGATCGTCACTTCACCTGAGAAATGATTCAGGGGCACTATCTGTATTCTTGGATCATGAAAACAGCTCTGAGTGTGATGTCATAGTGGGGCAATGACATCATACAAAGGTTGAAGACAGGACTTTTTGGTGCCAGAAGTTTCCAATATTTAACATTTATTTAAATTTTTTATTGCCATTGTGAGCAACAGTAAGTGACAAACTAAGAAATCGCTTTGGCTCTTGGTGCAAACAAGTGATAATAGTAAAAATAGAATAAGTACGCATGTATACAAAGAAATATCAAAAATCGACACTACATTTCTTAAAGCATATTGTCCGACACATTTGTGATCGTTGACAGGCCTCGCGCGCCTCTAATAAATGTCACTTTTCTGCAGACTTTCCTTGTCCTCTCCTCCTTTCTCTGGCTGTTGTCGAGCGTCCTCCTTCTCCAAACAGAGGACAGACACAATCCAATAAAGAGCCGCGAACAGCTGGAGAGAGAGGGAAGTGTGCCCACGTCCGAGAAGCGCAGTGTCAGCGAAAAACGCAGCCCATGACACCCAATGTCACCCAGGAACGAGGAGACAGCGGGGGAAGATGGAGGAGAGAAAAGAGACCTGAGGAGGAGTGAGGCCGATCCATCACAAATATGGATTTAAGAAGGATTGGAAGGGAGATTATCATACTAAATATATCAATGCGTCACAATAAAAGCTCTTGTCTTGATTCTTTGTAATGCATTATTTATCGTCTAAGGGTTTTTCAGTGGATGGATTCCTTGATTTTACTGGTTTCTATGTATTTTTGACTATGAGAATTTAACAAAAATTAAAGTATTGGGTTCTTCTATACCAGACAATATAAGGTATAATAACATAATTCTACTAAGACACAATGAATCTTCCAAAAATTGTAAATTTCTGCTTTGTGAGATCAATAAAGTATATGTTATATTATCTATTATGAGAATGTAGTATGGGGTGACTCAAACAACTCTGGAAAATGTGCATGATATCAATCTATCTATACACCATCACCACACAATCACAATCCTCTGTTTGTGCTGCTTTTAACATTGTATTTTAACTGTATATTTACTAAATGTAGTTATTATCGAGTAGCTGGAAAGGTGACTAAGAAAAAAGATATATATTATTACCATCAATCTATCCATTGGTCTAAGCATGCATTAGTTTTCTCACAAATTATTAAGTTGATCTTGAACATGATTACAAGTTTTTTGGGCTGAAACAATCAAACAAACAATTGAATAGATAAAATTCAATAATAAAAATAAAAGCTAGGATTGCTATCATTTTGTCTTATAAAACTTAAAACCTATTATTGTAGTTGATAAAACTGAGGCAAGAAAACTATGTGGAAAGAAAAATTGTAGACATAAAATACACTTTCAAATATTTCAATAGTTCATTTATTTTTGTACTTTAACTTCAATAGATCAAATAGACTTAAATACATAAAACGTGACATATGCCCATTCTTTGTTTGTTATAATTTGATGATTTGTTATAAATTATTTCTGAGATGATCTATTATGGGTTTACAACATTATAACAAAAACTGACTCACTTATATGTCACACTTTGCAAGTTATGACTCAATATTCTAATTATCCAGGTTTCATTGGCAGGAAAATAGGTTGTCAAAAGTATGAAAAATCAGATTCTTACCACTTCTAAAACTATATTTGTATCAGGGGTTATAGAATGAAACTGATATTTACAACTATTGAATAAAGGATGATTATCTAAAGAAGTGTGTATGTTTTTGTAACAGTAATGGACTTTTTCCTTTTGATCAAATAGAGTTAAAAATGCGGCGATGGTGACGATTGAGGTGTAAAGATGGGACAGAGACAGTGATCAAAGGAGGATGGAGTGAGGAGGTGGGAGACATATGGAGGCGACTCAGGGGAGCACTGAGGCACCAACCACTGGAACACATTTATCAAGGAAATCATACGAACCCACGACGTTATGCAGCTGAAAATAACGTAACCCTAAACCGACAGATAATGAGATATATGTTTCAATACGTAATCATCAATGAGAATGAGCTACTGTCATGCACATACTGTACCATTGTCACTGTTCAATCTCAGAGCACCAAACCAGACTGTTAGATTGAGTAGAGAATGATAAGTACAATGTGTAATTGTGCATTCATAACACGGTAGTGAATCTTTTATTTCTTCTTAACAGAAAAAAATGGTTACACTATGGGTTAAAAGTCTAGATTTCAGGAAAACCTGTATAAACTTTATATTTAAAGAAGAAAAAAAACCATTGAAATGTAAAACGTGATAAATAAATGGGTGGGAACCTCAGGGTACCTCAGGGTGCCTCACGATACGATACGCAATACAAAGCTCACGATAACGATTCAAAGCTCACAATAACGATTATATCACGATAACCATTATATCATGATAACCATTATATCACGATATGATGATTATCGATATATTGGTCAGAAATATACCATATGCCAATTTTTGGCATATATAAAAGAAAAATGCTAAGTGAAAAAATACACTTTATTTCATGATAAATGGAATGGGGATGCGTAATGTAGTCATATACTAAGTATTGATACGTATTTTTTTATTTTTTTAATGAAATAAATTACAAATATATATATATATATTTTTTTTTTTCAAAATCGATACTTACATATTGATAATCGATCGCGGGAGAAAGTATCATGATATATCGTTATACCGATATATTGTAACACTCCTAGTGGGAACAGTGCGATGGGGCGATGCATGAAGTTACTATGTGTATACTGTATATGACATTGTGCATATACACATACACATTTGTTACTAAATCTTCTTACACTTTCAGATTCAGTGCATTGGCCATTTGCAGTTTCTCTTTTAAATGAAAAGAAAACGTTTGACAAAAAAAAAAAAAGATATTGACAATAGCATCGCAATCGGTCAAAAATGTGTTCAATATTTTGCCTAAACCATGGGTCCCAGTCTGTCAGACATCACACAACCCTCATAATTACCCGTTGTACAACCATCTCGGCCTTGACCTGTTCCTCTGTCCATATTGACCTTACATTACAGCATGAACTTCAAAAATCTCCAAAAACTGTGAACCGTCTCGGCGCGCATACCATTTACCACCATGCAAACTCGGAGCTCACAAAACTCTGGTTCCGACTTAAGCCCGGATCACGGCTGTAAGCCCAGTTTTATGACCAGAGCACGGCAGAGACAGCTGAGCCAATATTAGTTTAAACTCCGGTCACAGCTGTCTCCACCAGTTCATAAAGACACTATTATTATTGTTATTATTGTAGATTTACACAATGAGAGCAGCTTTTCCTGTGTGGAGCATCACTGCGGTGGTCGCGCGGCCCTTGTACGGTTGTAAAACTAGAGGGAAAAAAAGCTAAAATCGTAAATGGGACGACAGTAAAAATGATAAACAATCGAAAAGTAGTTAAGTTTTACAGTAATGGTAATGGTGGGTTATTGATGACTGCTTTGGGGAAGGAGAGCGAGAACGTTTGAGATTCGCACAAACCAGAAGAAAATATGATCATTGGTACATTACCCTGTGCTTCATGTATACAATACAAAAACACAGGGTGGATTTCAACTTGAAGTAAACAAGAATTTGACTTATAATATTCTAATATATATGTAATTATCTCTGCTTTATTAGACAAAAACTTGCTGATGATGTGAGTAACTATTGGTGATGGTTTTTCAAAATATGGTTTTAAATATATTTGTTATGAAAAAATACTTAATATAGATGAGACAACAGGGTCATATGGTGAAAAAAATGTATTCTTTCCCAAATTAAATATC